GGGGGTTACCATATATATATATATTAGCTTCCTAGACTGTGATTTCCAGCACCTTGCCGTAGTCAGGAAGGTTGATGCCCCCTCCTCTTTTGGCTTGTAGCCCAACCAATCGACATTTTAAGTGCAATAGAAAAAGCCTTATATCCCCAAGTCCGTAGCATTACCAGAAGCTGGGATTACCATTATCTCGTTCATCGTCGCCACCATCACCAACGCCGCCGCCACTGCCGCCGCTGCCACCGCAACCAGCGCCACTACCACCAGCAACGCCACCGCCGTCGATGTGAACCCGTAAATCTGCATATTACTCCATAGAACCCTAGTTTCCATTTTGTGTCCATTTCTGCTTCACTTGATTTTCGGGGTAATATCCCTAAAGCCTACCGGACAAATGGGCTGCAGGCCAGTTCACAGCCGATCTCGTGGAGCTCACGCCGCTGGTGGGTAGTGCCTTGGTTGGCAGTCTAGGTGCCTGCGCTTTTCATAGTTGTAGCAAGACCATGATGATAATAACCGAGAGCATCAAGGAGCACAAGGTAAGTTCAACAACTACTGCGGCAACGTGAATTAGAATTAATGCAGTGGGAAAGAAGCTCTGGCCAGTGCAGTATGCAATCAAATCCTTTCTCCAGGCATCTACTACGGAGGCTACACCGGGCCATTTGTCACCGCAAACATCTTCCTGGCCCGGTCCCTAGTGTGTCTGAAATTCATGTGAGTTTCTCTGAATATTAGACTTAGGCGGACTTATGAGGTCCTCTTGGCAGTATAGTATAATATAGTATACTCCCTACTGTATTCCCAGGCCAGGGACACATGTTGACTGTTTGTAGCTCGTGTGAGGGGCTGCAGCCTCCATGAATGTTCGACCGACCGCATGGGCAGCGGTACTTGGCAAAACGACTTAGGCCCACGCTAGGTGTTGTGCCAGGAAGGGTATGAGGGCCACACCCAACTGTCGAATGATTCAAGCAAAGCATGTCCAGGATCGACAGTCTTCGCGATTCAAGCAAAGCATTTCCAGGATCAACAGTCTTCTCTGCAAGAGCCATTAAACTCCTTTACACCCTAAGCCCTAAAC